AAGCCCCGTCTCGTGTCACTGTTTACAACTGGTTTAATGAGTTTAAACGTGGTCGCACTAATCTCACGGATGATCTGCGTGAGCGACGGCCTTCTACGGCGACGACTGAAGATAACATCAGTATTGTGCTCCGTATAATAGAGACTGACATAAGTGTGTCCTATCAACAGATTCGGACAAGCTTAGACATCGGTACGAGTCAATTGCACAAAATCATAGATGAACATTTAGCGGTCAGGAAGCTTTGTGCTCGGTGGATACTTCATAACTTGACAGAGGCCCAAAAACTCAGTCGTGCTGATTGGTGTCGTGAAATAGTTCAAATATTTAACGGAAGTGACTCAAATGCTGTGATCAATATACTTACGGGTAATGGCATAGCGTGGGGGTGCCGGGGGCGGGGGGGGGGTCATGGCCTAGGGCGGTAAACGAAAGGGGCGGCAGTCAAAATTTTTATTGTTAAAATGTTACGTGCCAAACGAAACTGCAAGGCTACGTAAGAGATGAAGTCGAATACTGCCAAAGTGCTAGCGACAACCACCCGATGCCCGGCTGGCAGGCACTGCGGTGGCAAATTATTCAATCAAAAAAAAACAATCACTGCTGAACATAGGCCCAAGAAATGCCACAAAGCACGGTCTCGAGCCACCTACATCCATCGACTTCCTGCATATCTTACCAGCTCGTCACTCCAACTAGTGCGAGACGCCCTACGCTTTGCGTGCTGGTCCGAGGCTGCCACTCGAGAACATTTCTTCCCCATCGGTTGTCTGTTCTCCGAGCTATATGGTCGGCCCATTGACTTCAGTTTATCGTTTAACTATGTCGGTTGCTCTGGTTCTACTGCGGTTATCCTCGTTTTTAATTCTATCATGCAAAAAACTCTGAGCATAGCTCTCTCCATAGCTTGAGCTTGACCTTGAGCTTCATACGACCAGCAATGAAGGTCTCAGACACACTGATTGTACAATCTTGTTTTGGGTTTTTGATGCATGCCTGACGAGAAGATGTGTCGTAATCTCCCGAATGCTGCCCAGACGTTGAATCCATCGATTAACTTCTCGGTTAAAATTGGACTTACCTACTCGGACTATTTGTACCAGGTTAACATACTCGTCAACAACTTCGAGCTTAGTGCTATCAACAACAATTGGCAAAGGTGTGATGTGGACGTTACACATAAATAACCTTTGGTTTGCCCATGTTCATCTTAAGAGTAATCCCTTGTGAGACACTATTAAGTTTATTGAGCGTAGTGCTTATATCCTCCAGCAATGCTGCCATAAGGACTATATCGTCGGCAAATCGAAGTTGAGTGATGTGTTCGCTTTTTTAGTCCAGTTGCTTGAAAACGTCTTTTAATGCAGCAGTGAAGAGTTTCGGGGATATTGTGTCACCCTATCTTACACCTCTCTGCAGTTGGATAGGTTTCGTACTCTGGTTCTGTACTCGAATAGCCATCGTTGTCCTATTGTACAAAACTTCAGCACTTCGATATACCGACAGCCAACTTGGCACCGCTGAAAGGATTGCAGCACTGTCCAAATTTTGACGGAATCAAAGGCTTTCTCATAGTTTACATACTCAAAACAAAGTTGCGGATTGTACTCTTAGGTCTTATTTACATTTTTCTGAAGGGTGGTCTATGATGCTAAAGCCTTTTCGGAAACCGGCTTGTTCGGGAGGCTGAAATTTGTTGAGTCTGCATGCGAGACGATTCATAATGCAACAACTCTTGAAAACAGTACGTAGACGTGGCTCTGAAGGGGAATTAGTATGCAGTTCTTAAAGAGAGTATTTTTGCCTTTATTGAAGAACAAGACCAACGTACTTCTACTCTACGCCTCTGGAGTAGTGCCAGCATGGAGAACGGAGTTAAAGAGCTTCGGAAGTTTCACTGTAATTTCATCTTCTTATAGTAGTATTAGGAGAAAAACGAGAGGAATTTGTGAACTACTCTTTACGATATGCTAAAAATTTATGTGAAGAATTCTTTTGAACCCCAAGACGAATCTGGAGGAGGCATATTTTTGGCGACGAAAATTTAGATGTTAGTTTATCGTACGAGAACGAATTGAGGCGAACAATGTTTACTTTAGAAAGCATAGTAACTGCTGAAATTCATGATCGATTCCAACAGCTGCAAAATCTAACGCAAAATATGCCTTTTTAATGCCTGCAGTAATATTGGACCGGAAGAATTTAACTTACATAAAGCTCGTTGGACCATAGATAATACAGAAGAGTTCCAACAGGAGCGCGCACGTCTACGTCAGTTGCAGCTGCAACAGACCCAGACTGTAAAAAGGGTTTATTAAGTCCGGCTGTCTGGGTTTATTAAAATATGTTATTGAGTCCAAACTTGAAGGTGGCTTACCAAACATTGTCATGATAAAAACTTAATCATTATCACCATCATCATTGCTGAACATAGGCCTCCTCCAAGGTATACTACAAAGCACGGTCCTGAGCCACCTGCATCCATCGACTTCCTCCATGTCTTACCAGGTCGTCACTCCATCTAGTGGGGGGTCGCCCTATACTTCGCCTAAAATTTAATACTGAGGATTTTTAACATCTGCCGGTAGTAAATTATCTGAGATCGACTGCGTCAACATTGCGACTACCAAATTTTTATATCGACTTTGTTAAAGATTTTGCTTTGAAAAAAACACGAAAGTTACATTTTCAATTTAATTTTAAACCTAATAGTGACAGATATAATTAATAATTCTAGGCACGCTATAGCTAAGTATTTTATATAAATAAATATTTTATTATACCAAGTTGATCTCAATTGCTTTTGCTGAGAAAGTTGACAACCGTTATAAGTAGCTACTTTAAGCGGTAATTAACGATTCTCTTAATTTATCAAATGCAAAATTACGAAAAATGATTCCAATAATCCACTACAGGTAGGTTACTAGTCAAGTTACTTTTGGACTTCTTAAATTTGATCTGATTGAGGAGTAAAGAAATAAAATGATGGGTGGCACTCTCGTCTGCCTCTTAAGTGTAACTATAACTAAGTATACTTTTTGCAATACCTGTAAAGGTTGCTAAGTGTTGAGCACTATGTATAAATTTAGAATCCAATTGTACATTCATTATTATTATTTATTTTTATATGTACCTAGTGTTAATTTTGTAAAGTTATGCCTTGTAAACAATCCGACAATTTAGACTGGCAATCAAGATAAACTTCCTCTGTGTTTTTTTTTGCGCCATTTCTTCCCATTGATGTTTATTCCTTTCAAATCAGTGGTAGTTTATATGGTCTTTCAATAAAATAAAATATTTTAACTTTAAATTATGATAATTTAAAAAAATGGGGAGGGGCGAATTTCCAGACGGCCCCGGGCGGCGAAAACCCACTACTACGCCACTGCTTACGGGTGACGAAAGCTGGATTTATTGTAATGATCCGAGGAGTTTCCAACTAAAATGAAGAGAGGTCGAAGCGTGGTGAAAAAGGTGGTGGCTTCGTTCTTCGGAAGGACAGGTCATTACGCAATAATTGTTTTCGAGAATCGAAAAACAGTTACTGCAGAGTGGTACACTAACAATTGTTCGCCACTTGTCTTGGAAAATGTTCGACTACTTGGCGACGTCAGACGTGGAATTACTGGGTCACCCGCCCTATAGCCCCGATCTCGCACCTTGCGATTTTTATTTATTTTAGAAAAGCAGTGGCTGCGTTTCAAAATGCTGTCGGAGAGGGGTCTCTTAAGGTCTCTTAAGGGCGAGTGGGCAAAGTGCTTTTCTCAGTGGTTCTTGCGGATGCAGCGATGTAATGATATAAATGGACACTATTTTGAAAATATACATTAGAACCAATCACTTGGTAGTTTGTTCAGTTTTTGATTTTCTAAGAACTTCATTATAACCCTCGTGCAGCAGTATACACGGTTGTTCGGCGGCAGAAATAACAGGTTAGAAGGATGTAAGAATATTTTTATTTAGTAAAACTGGTGCTGCAGTCAGCGATCCGCCTTCCAAGCGCAGATCCAGATTCCGGATCTTATCGTATAGAGGAAGAGGTTTACATCTGGTATAATACATAATTTGATAACTTTTAATAAAAAGACGGTTAATTTATTTTATTTTTATTTATACTTCATAACTATTTCAGCGTATTTAATTAAATATTTTTAAAATATGGTTACATCCTTACAATTAATAATGGAATTATTTTTATATACAGACATTTTAGTTGTTATGTATATACTATATAATATATAAATTTAAACCAAAAGAATAACGACGTGGGAAAGTAATTTTGCTGGATATATATATATATATATATGAGTACCGAAAACTATTACATCTCAATTTTTATGCGATTCTCTTCAAATTGTTCTACGGATGACATAAATGCATTTTGCCATTGGGCAACTCGGTGCCATATTGTTTAAGCAATTGCAAGGAATTGTTATTTTTAAGCAGAATATTTTATATTCTTTGATGAAATACAGATAAAACAGGTTTTGACTTTATACACCTAATGTTTTTGTAGTAATCCCGAATTCGATAATTTTGACTCATTAAAATATATAACGAAAAAGAATAAAAGATAAAATATATTTTTTATATTTTTTGATGAAATACAAATAAAAAAGGGCTTTTTACGACAAAGTCAATATTTTCGGAGTTAAGAATTTTTGAAGGTTTGAAAAATCCCAAATTCGGATATAAAAAAAAAGTTTTAATTGCAAAGTATAACCTATAATCAACAATCTTATGTTCTAAAATGGCGACATTATCCTGAATATTTTTAAGATATGATTTTTGTCGTATTTAAAAAAAAGTTTTTTGATTTCTATAAAAAATTACCATTTATATACATACTACATAAATGCTTCACCACGTCGATGTGTTAAAAGGTAACATTGCATGTAAAAGTTAGTAATAAAAAAAATTCGTTGCTTATAATATCAAGTGTTTTCAAAATAAATAAAAATATAAATATTTATAATACAAACGTAAAAGCAAGTGATATTTTAAGATACATTATCTGCCCAAACGTCCCACGCAAAATTATGTAAACGAGGTGCCGCTCGAGGATCGGAAACAGCTGGGATTTTTCGTGGAATGGTTCGGTTTATTTCAATTTTTAGTCTGTCCATCATCTTTTCTACTACATCTGGATAATTTGCAGCCAAATCTTGCATTTCACAGGGATCTTCTTTGATATTAAATAAACAAATTTTATCTGAAAATATGATCATTTAATCAGTAAGTATTAAATTTTCCTGATCGAGATGAGAATGAGAGGCCAAAGGTAGGATTTTTATTTCATTAAACTTTTTTTCTTATAAGGAATCATTTCTCACATAGAGTACACGCAATATCTAAAATATGAAATTTATTCCTAATAAGTGGACACTTTTAATATATTTGGATTATCAACAACATCTGTTAAAAATTTTATGTAAAATACAGGCGTTAATATTATATAGAATTTTTTTATATACAAAATAACTATGACGAAAAATTTCGTATAGACATCTAGTACAAGTAATTCAAAGTTAAAGTATATGTACTTATACTTACTTTTGTCGGAATAACAAAGTGGTCCATATTGGCTATCATTTCTTACTTTACAATTAATTCGCAGCTTGTTTCTCAATTCTACATATTTAAAATTAAATTGTTTATCAACATTTCGAAGCACTGAGTACATTTTACTTTTCTCAAGAGACTTGAAATACGAAGGCTTAGGACCAATTATACCTCTTAAGTCACCTCCTTGATATGTACTATACTGAGGATTGACGTATCCAGTCACTAGTTTAAAGTCTCCGGAAACGATAGATGCAAATCCGGTATAGTCATCGATTTCAAAAAATTCATCTCTTTTTGATGTTTTGTTATGGACTATGTCATTCCAAAGATCAATGCCATCGATATTAGACGGTGGTTCGGAACCAGCTGCTCTCAATAAAGTAGGCAACCAATCCACAACATGCATGTAACCACCCCATGCATGATTAACATTTGTTAATTTCTGAGACCAAACAAGTCCATTAACGCGAACACCTCCCTCATAGGGGGACATTTTAATACCACGTAAAGGCCAATTAGATCCGTAATTCAAATGTAATCCCGATGTCATTGCACCATTATCTGATATAAATGCAATGATAGTATTATTCAGGATTCCTTTCTTCTGCAACGCTTGCACAATATCGCCAACACTATCATCAAGCTTTTTCACAGAAGCTGAAAGAGGTATCATAGAGGTTACTTCAAAATAAAAACGTAAACAACAATCATACAAGTTTTGTTTGAGAAATAAACATTGGTGGATCACTGAAAAATTAGTAATTATTTGAAAAAAATAATATATAAATGTTTTAATTATACCTGCAAAAATCTTTCTCTCAGGATTTTCAACGTAGCGCATAGCTCGAACTACGTCAGGGGGCGCTTGAAGTAGCGCGCCATTATTTGCAGAGTGAGGAGCATTATGGTTTACCATCAAAAATAACGGTTTCGTCTTATCATGGGAAAGTATAACTAAAAGACGAAAAGTAAAAATACTTATATACCATGTACTAAGTATTTAAATTCAAACCTAATTATTAAATGATTTCGTTTTCGACATTGATTTATTGAATTGGTTCAATCAAATTACCAAAATGGTATAGTAATATTATTTTTTAAATGTTGTTGCATATATCGTGACAAAAATGTTTCTTTTATTTATTTTTTTAAAATATAATATCTCACTTGATTTGGCTTCATTATTATATAGGTCGGTTATATATCCCTTTTCAGTTTTCCAAACAGGATTCAAGTTCCTAAATAGGTCAAAACCAGATCTGATTGTAGAATTCCACTGCAAATACGCACAAAAAATATATTATATCAGTGATATTCATTAAAAACCAAAAATGTTTATAACGTCGCATGACTCGGTCGGTGACTAACTTTATGAAAGTATTTTGATGAATGAGATCTTTATTGGTTGTGAGTTTCAAAACACCATACCTTACGACAAAGTATTTATCAAAGTAACGAAACGTTGCATAGACCAGGATTCGAAAAGAATGTGAGACTAAGGGTAGGAATTAAAATTTTTGTTAGGTTGTGAATGTTGGTTACATATGGTTTAAACGAAAGTTAGCTTTAGCGAAATCTATTAGTAATTTGACGCTCGTCACATGCTTGTTGCAGCTTGTAATACATGTATGTCATGTACTCCACAAAGACTCGAGATAGCGCGCGGCTGGACACAATAACCTTAGTGACCGTGAAATCACTACTCGCCATTTATTGCATTTTGTAAAACAACGTCGACACGACCGGGATAGGAGTGCCCTCACAGAATACCAACTTAAAATAACAGCTGTGTTTCGTACGGTGAGTGTAGAGTAACGAAGAAGACCCTTTTTACTGGAAACGAGGCATTCCATTTTGGTCCTCACGGGTGACAACGCATCTGCATTTCGATTCGAAATCGAGGGTAGATGTAGATGTCTATGGGCTGCAGCAACCACTTACCATCAGGTAGGCTGTATGCTTGTTTGTCACCCTTGTCCTATATTAAAAAAGCATTTTGTTAAAAATCTGTAACGTTTCTACAACGGAGAAACAATCTGTAACGTCTCATTTGTCAAGTCTCAGTCTCATACGATCATCATGCCAGTCGAGCAGTGGAAAGTCGAAGATTGAGAAACAATACGACTACGACTAGAAAAGTATTTTTTTTTTATTTTAATTATTTTGCCGATAATCCGCATGAGTCAAATTTTTCATAAACTAACTAAAATACAAATCATCACCTAATAACTGTAACAGAAAGAAACAATCGACAATTGATACTTCTTATAATATATTATAAGGATGAAGCTAAATAATTCATTATACATCTATACTAGCTTTGACGGTTACTTGATCGCCAGCGAATTGTTTTTCCTGTTTTGTCGTTTAAATAACGTTTTGGAGGGGAATTTAATACAACAGTGATGCGGTTTTGTATATTAAGTGTCGGCGCAACCTATCTATTAGTAAAAATGGTAAAGAAATTGCCATGATGGTAACATAAACCTTCAGTCTTCATCGTTTGTCCGCTAGGTCAAGCAGTTGTCAAAATCGCATAAAAACATCGCAATGTGACGTATGAGCTTCATATCGTTAAGAAGTTTTTAAAACAAAACATTATAAAAACCAATTTAATAGTATTTAAACATATTACAATCATAACCTTATAAGCTCAAAACCAAAGAAAAGAATATGTAGACTTTTTACAAAAAATAAAATAAAAACGTTATTTCTCGTATCGAACCCGGGTTGCTGGTAAACCTGATATTTGCGGATACGGAATTTTCATAAAATAAAATAACCTAATGTATACTAGGTGCAAATATCCGCATATGAGCCACATATACACATTCAATACATACAATACTAGCGATGTGCACCGGATTCGTACGGGTGACCCGAAGATAGTCGTATTGATTGCTTGTTGTGTTTTACAGCATTGCATCTCTGCGATGGTTGTTTGGCGGGTCGCTATTCTCAACGGCGTTCTGTGCGTCTTGGTTTGACTCACACCTAAGTAGCTTTGCCCAAATTGGGTCCCTTCATGACGGGGTTGTAGACTCTCTGACGTCCATGATGGCTTAATATAACAACAGTAAAGTATTTCTGTAAATTTTCCACCTTTGAATGGTTGAAGGCGACTTGTTGGTGGGTGAGATAAACATGATTCAAAAATGCTCAACTTCAGTGACACAAACTCTTTTTGATGGCTTAATAATTATTATTATTTTATAACTGCCTCTTGGCTATATTTGCCGTTGTTTGGTTGAATTTTGAATTGACGTTGACGTTGAATGGTGGAGCATACATATGTGTCAGCCTCATGCCGGTGGTAGCTGGAGGGAGGAGACTCTCAAGGTATTTCTGTCAAAATGTATGTGAGCTAAGTCCTTGTATCGGATATTTCCTATATATAAAGATTGTGAGCCTTTTCCAAGTGGGAAGTGATTAATTAATAAGGAATTGACCTGATACAAGTAGAATAAAAACAATTTAATGTTATTAAACTTTTTGTAAATGTAGTGAGAGCCCACACTCTATTGTGAAAAGTCAGAATGTGTCAAAAAAGGCACGTATGGCAATTCACAGTGCTGTATTAGTCCCTACTTTAACGTATGGTAGTGAAAGTTGGGTGTGGCAGAAGAAGCACGAGAGTAGAATAAATGCAGTAGAAATGCGGTCGCTAAGGAGTATGTTAGGGCTGAATCTGAGTGACAGGGTGAGAAACTGTGTGATAAAAGAAGAGTGTGGTTTGCAAGATGATGCGGTGACCAGGATTAAGAAAGGAATGCTTCGGTGGTTTGGTCATGTAGAAAGAATGAATGCGGAAAGACTGACAAAGCAAATATATGTTGCAGAAGTGAATGGAAGAGTCGGAAAGGGACGTCCTAGGCGGAAGTTTGTCGACCAAATTGGCGATATACTAAAAATGGGCCAAATTAAGAGTACCCTTAACCGACGAGCATGTATGCGTAGGTATATGGATGTGGAAGAGGCGAGAAAGGTATGTCAGGATCGTGCTAAATGGAAGTCTGTAGTCTCTGCCTACCCCTCTGGGTGACAGGCGTGAGTGTTTATGTATGTAAACTTTTTGAGCCCTTTCTTTGTAAACGGGGTTCTTTAGTTTAAAATAATTTTAAGGCACTACCAACGGCTTTCGATTGGAATTCGAAGGTGAATATTCATTCTTTCAAGAGACACCTAAAATAACCAAGTTACTAAATAATTACAACGTAAGTAAGGGTCCTAACTAAGATGATCACGACATAAATTTGACAAACGGCCTTTTTTACATAGTAGAAGGGGGAGCGTTACTATAAAGAGTGGTTTAGTAGTTTGTTAGTAGTATTCACAGCATTGGTAGTACAAATTACGTTATTATTAGTATTAAATATGTACATATTTGAAACAAATGTAATTAAAAAATTAAAATATCTTACGTCTTCTTGTAACTCATATTCATAGTAATCAATAAATCCGCCCCTATGTCCGAAGTGATTGTCAAAACCGCGTGATGTGGGCAAAAATTTAGTGCGGGATTGACCTACATGCCATTTGCCCACTAAATGAGTTGCATAACCTAGCTCTTTGAAATATTGTGGTAAAACTTTCTCTGTCAGTGGCAAACCTCTATCCTCACTGTTTAGTAGAGGCAAGCCCTGCATCCCTGTAACAAATTATGGAATTTTAAAGTATTAATAAATATATTTATTCTAAATTATATACACCAAATATGTCGTAGAAGCTTTTTAAATCCACTGCTAGATTTTAGCCATCAACTATTATTTGGTTAATTTGCGATCGGCATTGTAAATATATATAATATATACATATTATCGCAGCTATTTTTATAATTAGCCACATTTAATGTAGTAATTAACTTCAGACAGTTAAATGCCACCATTGAACCAAATGGTTAGTAGTCTAACTAACTTGTTGATTAAACCATCGTGCGTCAACAGATTTACTGTTGTGTCTCAAAGACCTCTGATAGTAACGACTATTCGTCGCATCTACCCGCACTGACTACTGGTAGTGAGGCCTTTCCTCTTAGTACCCAGTAGCCGTAGTCGAGCTTAAAATCAAGTTATCACACCCTTAGGCACCTCAGGATATTTTTTATCCAGAAATCTTTTTTATAAATTAAAAAAACTTCTTAAATATGTTTATTACTTAGATAGGAGAAACTTATAAAATTCGATACATTCAGAAATTGATTCTATCAGGATTACGCGTTGTAGGTCTTATCGTTGACGCTGCTCCATGTAGCTTGTCTGAGTATTTTACATTCAATATATTATTCGAAATGGTTATACATACATTTATTAGCGACCATGAGCTTTATATGACATTTTCAATACCATCGCCGAAGTGACAGGGTACTCTTTAGCCTCAACGACAAGGCGAGCTATATATCGCTTATCTTAATGCTAGTAGTAGTGAGGTAAAATAATAATCATACTGAACCTATGACATGGGCAAATTTTCCAGTAAGCAACGCAGAGCGCGTAGGCGTGCATATGCAGTGGCTATAATACCTTTCGAATACTACACCAGAGTAGGCGAGTAAGTCAATGTTAGGAGTCATTATTTGATCATATCCATGAAAGCTAACATCATTCCACCCCTGAAAGATAAAATATTTTGACTATCTGTTATAAAAAATATACATCTAAGGTCTAATAAAGCTAAAATTCTTAAAGATAGTTGGTAAGTTTGCAAGAAATTATTTCTAAGCGACAATAAATAAACAATAATAATTAAAGTGTCATACCATGTCGTCAGCGATAATAAAGACAATATTTGGGCGCGAGGGTTCTTTTTTCAGCTCGCAAGTATAACTGTGTATATGTGATACAAAGTGTAAGTAAACCAGGACAAAAACACTTTTGAACTTCATTTTCTAATCTCTTCCGAAATGCTGTCGAAAAAATTTGAAAGATGGGTAATCCGAAATTCCAATAAAAGTCATTCTTTACAAATTTTGTTGAGTGAAGTATTTTTATACCTTAAACAAATATACAAGTATTTTACGTATGATAATAGCAATAAAGAAATACGATACAAATATAAGGTCGGGGAAAATTTTTCTACGTATTTTAAATACAATTTCAAGATTTTTTTTTGAGAAATGGCGGGAAAGCGTTTTCTTTACTTCTTCTTTTTCGTAATATCTTATGTGTTGACATTAAAACCAGCTAGATACAAACAATAAAGGCAAAAAGATATTTCCCTAATTTTATACAAACAAAATACGAGGAAACTTTTTCCCCGACCTTTTAATAAAACAACAATGTTAAGTTACAACAAGGTATATGTATAAAGAAATATGCCCCTAAGTAGAAACGTTATGGTTTGGTCACAAAATGGTCCATACAACCAGAGTAGGCCAAGGACTAAGCTCTATCGAGCTAGCAGTTAAACAGGACAGATCATAAAAATTTGCATGTGAAATTGTAGCCAAAATTAGTTATACGAACTAAGTAAAAACGATTTTGTAGTTCGAACCGATTCTGTAAAAACAAGTTACTGTTAACTTGATGTTAAAATATATCACTGGTGGTCACCGGCTGCCAGATCCGGCCAATTTTTTGATTTTCTTATTTTTTCTCACACTGTTTTCCAGCAATCATTGAAAACAAAGTTTTTATAATCTATTATCTAAACCAATTTTCATTAATTTTGTTATTTTACACTACTGCTCTATGTGAAGATTGCAGTAACTTTAATTTATTTAGAACCATAAAAACAATAGTTATAGCAACAGTTTAGTTACAAATTTCCATGCAATTTTTAATGGTTTCTGCCGACTTTTTAATGATACCTCTATAGAGCTGAAGGACAACACAATCTTTGTGTGAGACGTATTGAAACTAGTAACGATAACCGGAAACTATTTTTTAAAGATTATGATAATTCTTAATCTTATGCTATGAGACGCAGCATCATATTACTATCGGATGAAATATGTGCTCGTTTATTAAGCCCAGAGTCCTCGGCGGCCCCGCTATTCCTAGCTACGGTGGCGACCATGGTAACGGGCAGGGGGTGCTAAGAATCTCCGGTGGAAGTTCGGTTGCCACCTACGACGACTCGGCTTGGCAACATTTAACGCACGCACCCTGAGGACTGACGAGAAGATCCTGGAGCTGGAAGAAGAGATAGACAAGTTGCGCTGGAATATTATAGGATTATCCGAGGTCCGACGAGAGGGGGAGGACACGGTGATTCTCGAATCCGGCAACTTGTTCTATCACCGGGAGGGCTACCATCTGTCCCAAGGAGGTGTTTGATTTATCGTCCACAAGTCTCTCGTTAATAACGTTTTAACGATTGGGAGTGTATCGACGAGGGTTGCGTACCATATACTCAGAATCACCAAACGGTATTCGCTGAAGGTCATACAGGTTTACGCGCCAACGTCGGAACATCCCAATGAGGAAGCGGAGGAAATGCATGAGGACATTTCTAAAGCTGTGCATTCCTTCAAAACTCACTATACGGTGTTAATGGGAGACTTCAACGCAAAACTGGGCACAAGAAAGAACGGTGAGCTGAAGGTAGGGAAATTTGGGATAGGGCAACGGAACCCAAGGGGCCAGCAGCTGGCTAACTTCATGGAGAAAAAGGGACTTTTTACGATTAACTCTTTCTTCCAGAAGTGGACCCACAGAAAGTGAACCTGGTCGAGCTCCGACGGTTCCACAAAAAACGAAATTGACTTCATTATGACGACCAGACGCCAACTGTTTAGTGATGTCTCAGTGATCGCAAGGGTGAAAACTGGCAGCGATCACCGAATGGCTAGAGGCACACTGAGCCTAAACGTTAAGTTGGAGAGATCTCGTCTAATGAAGTCAACGCTCCGTCCCCCTCGTGCTCTAGTCTAGAATCCCGAAACCTTTCAGCTCGAGTTAGGTAACCGCTTTCAGCACCTACAAGATTGCAATGCAGTGGACGATATGAATGACAAGCTCGTGGAAACTGTTCATGCGGTCGGAGCTAAGTTCTGCAAGATTCGCCGCAGAAGAACACAAAAACTCTCCGATCACACTCTTAATCTCATGGCTGTTAGATGGGAGATGAGGCTGCAATCGTCAACAGATTTGACAGCATACAGGCAACTGAACAGGCAGATCTCCAAATGCATGCGGCGAGACTTACGCAACTTTAATACTGCTCGTATTAAAGAAGCGATCGAGCGGAACCAGGGCTCCAAAATCCTTGCCAGAGATCTGTCTGCCAGAAAGAGCCAACTGTCAAAGCTGAAGACTGAGTGTGGCAGCATCGTTTTCGGGACACCTGAGATTTTTAATGAGATTGAGAGGTTCTATGGGCAGCTGTACACATCATCGTTGGAGCCATACGCAAGTGTGAGTAACGATCCAAGAGCAAGTCTTATCCGACACTATTGCGATGATATCCCGGACGTCAGTCTGAGCGAGATTAGAATGGCTCTCCAGCACCTTAAAACGGCAGGGCCCCAGGCGAGGATGGAATTACAGCGGAGCTCCTGAAAGCGGGTGGAACACCGGTACTTGAAGTCCTTCAGAAGCTCTTTAATTCCGTCCTCCATGGTGGCAATACTCCGGAGGCGTGGAGCAGAAGTGCGGTGGTCTTGTTCTTCAAGAAAGGCGACAACGCTCTCTTGAAGAACTACAGACCGATTTCCCTTCTGAGCCGCGTCTACGTGCTATTTTCGAGAGTCATTACGAATCGTCTCGCACGCAGACTCGACGACTTCCAGCCTCCCGAACAAGCCAGTTTCCGAAAAGGCTTCAGTACCATAGACCACATACATACCCTGCGGCAGATTGTACACAAGACCGAAGAGTACAATCTGCCACTTTGCCTAGCGTACGTGGACTATGAGAAAGCTTTTGATTCCGTCGAAATTTGGGCGGTGCTTCAGTCCTTTCAACGGTGCCAAGTTGACTGTCGGTATATCGAAGTGCTGAAGTGTTTGTACAGTAGGGCTACGATGGCTATCCGAGTACAGAACCTAAGTTCGAAACCTATCCAACTGCAGAGAGGTGTAAGACAGGGTGACGTTATATCCCCGAAACTCTTCACCGCTGCGTTGGAAGACGTTTTCACGCTACTGGACTGGAAAGGATACGGCATTAACATCAATGGCGAGTACATCACTCACCTTCGATTTTCCGACGATATAGTCCTTATGGCAGAATCGCTGGAGGACCTAAGCACTATGCTCAATGACCTCAATGGTGTCTCCCAATGGATAGGTCTATAGATGAACATGCACAAAACAAAGATCATGTTTAATGTCCATGTCACACCTATGCCGGTAGTTGTTGGGAGCACTATGCTCGAAGTTGTTGACGAGTATGTTTACCTGGGACAAATAGTCCGACTAGATAGGTCCCACTTCGACCGAGAGGTCAATCGACGGATTCAACTCGGCTGGGCAGCGTTTGGGAAATTACGACACATCTTCTCGTCAGGTATACCTCAATCTCTGAAAACTAGATTGTACAACCAGTGCGTGTTGCCAGTGATGACTTACGGATCTGAGACGTGGTCCTTCACTGCTGGTCGTATGAGGACGCTCAAGGTCGCTCAGCGAGCTATGGAGAACGCTATGCTCGGAGTTTCTCTGCGTGATAGGCTCAGAAATTAGGATATCCGCAGTAAAACCAGAGTGACCGACATAGCCCAACGGATTAGTAAGCTGAAGTGGCAATGGGTAGCTCGAAGAACCGATAACCGATGTGGAAGAAAGGTTCTCGAGTGGCAGCCTCGTACCGGTAGGCGTAGTGTAGGGCGACCCCCCATTAGATGGAGTGACGGCCTGGTAAGATATGCAGGAAGTCGATGGATGCAGGTGGCTCAGGACCGTGCTTTGTGGCATTACTTGGGGGAGGCCTATGTTCAGCAGTGGACTTGTGAAGGGATGTAATGATGATTCTGATGATAATGATGATTGTTAACCTTACTTCTAAAAAAACATGTGTGTAGCTCAAATGAAATGAATTATAAAATAAAAATATTTTACAGCAAATGATTTATTTAAGTAATATGATAACAAGTTAGTGTAGCATAAAATTTAAGATAAAAGTTCAGTTTTGTAGCAAATAAATGTTGCAATACATATTGTTAGAAATGTAAGAAGAGCCTTACTTTAGCATAATAAACTAAAAGAATAATTAAATTCTTTAGAGTAAAATTGTTTTGTATTTGTGCCACAATATTCATTCAATATGTAAAGTCATTTTATCGAACAAAATATTCTTTGACTCACAAGATGGTCGGTATAATAGCTAGATGGCCTAAGTTAAACGAAATGGAATAGATACTATAATTTTATTCATTATGTTTAAATTTATAAATTTAATTTTTTAATTTTTTTACTCTTTATATAAACTTTAAAACACTACACAAAGAAGGGAACGAGATAATTGGAAACACTGTACACTATATTCTATCTCATTCTCTCGCATGCTAAATCCTATGCATGTGTGACTATAAAGAGACGAACATATTTTCGTCTCTTTTTAGTGTTATTTTTTTCATTTCATCTACATAGTTTCAAATCGCAACGATTCTAAAGAAATTTTCACAAATTAACTCAAATTTACAATAAATTGTAAAATTTATTTAATTGCTGCAATTATTAGTAGTATAGTTGTAGCACGAATGGGTCGGCTCGACCGAAGAAAGACCACGCTCTCACAGAATAGCAGCGTAAAATAGTAGCTTAATGCTGCTTTGTTTCGTATGGTGAGTGTTGAGAACCGGAGACCCTTTTTACCGGAAACGAGGCATTCTATCTTAGTCCTCACGGGTGACAACGCAACAATCAGGTGGATGGAAAAAAAATAAGTTAGTAAGTTTCAAGATGGAAAAAAATAGGTTCACTTTTTTTTATAGGATAGGGTG